GCAGTAGGCAATAAACAAGCAAATAAACGAATAACATAACTTCAGACAGTACAGAGCCCGGTGATTAAAGTATTACAGGGCGATGTGATAGAGTACATGGAACTAGGGGAACAGTGTCATCTAACTCGGTGGTCAGGGAAGGGTCCCGAAGAGCTAAAGCAGTTTCCTTTCCTAACCAATCTCGACCGTTTTGCAAGGACCTTAGCTCTTTTATGTTGTCTACAATCTGCTCGTTTTATAGATGCACAAGTGCAGGCCAGAAATGACAAGATCATCCAGCATAAAGACCTCACCCTGGGCTTCCCTGGTGGCGCAGGTGGTTAAGAATCCGCCTGCCAATGCATGGGACACAGGTTTGAGCCCTGGTCTGGGAAGATCCCACATGCTGCGGAGCAACTAAGCCCGTGTACCACAACTACTGAGCCTGTGTTCTAGAGTCCACGAACCACAACTACTGAAGCCCATGTGCCTAGAGCCCATGCTCCCCAACAAGAGAAGCCACTGCAATGAGAACCCTGTGCACCGCAACAGAGTAGCCCCCACTCGCCGCAACTAGAGAAAGCCCGTGCAGAGCAACGAAGACCCAACGCGGCCAAAAAAATAAGAAAATAATAAATAAATTAATTAACTAAAGAAAAAGACCCCGCCTTGTGTTCTTTCCTATCCACCACAGGCTCTTCACAGTTATATCCTCTTGGCCCTTATGCCTGGAGTCCAGTCAAAATGACCTACCTATCTGCATGGTTATTCCTATCAGCGATTGGCAAATCTTTTAGATAATTTCTACTCACCAGAAGTTGACTGTATCTAGTATTTTTGTTTCATTTCCCTGCAGTGGAAATGCAGGCATCTGTGGGAGAAGGATAGGGGTATGTTCCCACTCCCTCTCCCACTTTGTTTCTCCATTTGAAATTTTGCACAATAGTGTAAAGAAAAGTTCTTACATCCTCTCTTCCTCTGCCTAAACTTCTCAGTATTTTCCAGACCTTCACATATTTTAAGCATAGGCTTTGCAAGACATGGAAACAACCTAAGTGTCCACTGATGTAAAATGGATAAAGAAAATGTGATATATCACACATACACACACACACACACACACACACACACAAAATATTATTCAGCCATAAAAAGGAAGGAAATTCTGTCATTTGCAACATTATGCCAAGTGAAATAAGTCAGACAGAGGAAGACAGATGCTGTGTGGAATCTAAAAAAAAAAAATTAGAGCTCATAGATACAGGGAACGGACTGGCGGTTGTGGCCAGAGGCAGGATGTAGGAGATGGGAGAAATGAGCGAGGGGGGTCAAAAGGTACAAACTTCCAGTTATACAATAAGTAAGTTCTGAGGATGTAATGTACAGCATGGCAACTATAGTTAACAATCCTGTTAACAATATTTGAAGGTTGCAAGGAGAGTATATCTTAGAGGTTCTGATCACAAGAAAACAAAACTTTGTAACTATGTGAGGTGACTGATACTGACTAGATTTATTGTGTAATCATTTCACAATTTATACATATATCAAATCATTATGTTGTATACCTAAAACAAATACAATGTGATATGTCAATTATATCTCAATAAAACTGGGGAAAAAACATATTTCAAAAAAGGAGCATTGGCTTGGGAGGAGAGAGAAGGGGAGTTAAAGACTCAGCTCTGTCACCGACTAGCATGTGACTCTGGGTGAATTGCTTAACCTCACCAAGCCTCGGTTTCCTCATCTGTAAAATGTGGATCACAACAATGCCCACCTCAGAGAATGGTAGTGAGGATGAAGTGAGATGACTGAATTATAACACAACATGTTTGACACTAACTCCTCAAAAAATAACACACTTAGGAAGTGAACATGACTATTATCCTATATGACAGATGAGGGAAGGAAGATGCAGAGGGATTTCATAACCTGCTCAGGGTCACTCAGGCGCTAAGGGAAAGAGCTGGGATTATGTCAGGAGGAAATGCAGTTCTTACAGTGTGGGACAGAGAGTAAACATTCAAAACAGTCCAGCATTTGTGACTCTGCTCTACTACAGTGTGTTCTGCAAATGTCAATGGGATGATTTGTCTTTCTGGAAAAATGAGTAATGCCCCATTGCTCCAAAGGTTTCTGCTCTTTAACTAGTCCATTCCCCAGTGGCTAAACTGTCATTTTATCATCATAGCCTTGGAGCCAAACTGAGAGTGTGAATTCACATGTTGGCATTGTTCATATTCTCTCTCTTAAAGCTTGGGCCTTTGGAAACACAATCGTATTTATTTTAATAAAACTGCTTTATGGCTTGTTTGCCCTCTAAATTCCCTTTGCTCTTTGGGGAAAGCTGCTGACAGGCAGTGAGGCTTTGCTGTGGCCCCTGTGCTGGGATTGTAATTAAGGACCGCGGAGAGGGAGACTGGGGAGGGGGCAGCAGAGGGGACAATAGGGCAGTGTTTTTATTCCAGGGTCTGGCTTCTCGTTTCTTGTCAGAGGCAAGGGAGATTACCCCTGACCTGCTGGCTTAGACACCAGGGCCAGGCCCTGGATAAACAGGCAGGATAAACAGCTCTGTCCGTGGTCAAGAGTTACTCCTTTTAAAAGGCTTGAATGAAAAAAAAAAAAAAAAAAGCTTGAATGTGTGGAAAATGGCAGGGTGGGGTCTGTCGGGCCTCTGCCTCTTTAAAATCTCATGAGTTTGCTCTCTGTAAATCAGCAGCAGGTTATAGTTGCCGGTCTTTAGACGGATAGGTTTCTTCCCGTGAAGGTAGTTTGTCATTCTGTTGTTACTACAATTAAAGGACTCTGCCGGGCTTCCCTGGTGGCGCAGTGGTTGAGCGTCCGCTTGCCGATGCAGGGGACACGGGTTCGTGCCCCAGTCTGGGAGGATCCCACATGCCGCGGAGCGGCTGAGCCTGTGGGCCATGGCCACTGAGCCTGTGCGTCCGGAGCCTTGCTCCGCAACGGGAGAGGCCACAACAGTGAGAGGCCCATGTACCGCAAAAAAAAAAAAGGAGTCTGCCTCCCTTGAAATGTTATGTTGCCCCAGGGAAAGTTAAAACCAATGAAATGTTTATAGGTTGTCAACCTGGAAGGAATCGTGGAGTGGAGTGTTTGTCAACATGAAGGCAGAGAGCCACCTCCATGGGGACTGTCTGGACTGTTTGCTGGAATTGCGGTCCTGAACCTTAACCCACCTACTTTATCACAATCCTTGGGTTGTGGGCCCAGGGATCTCAATTTTTAATAAGTTCCCTCAGGTTATTCTAACGCCCAGTGATGCTTGAGGGACACAGATATGGAGAAACAGATTCAGTCACTGAATTACAGATCGAGATACTGAAACACTGAAATTTGTCCCCAAGGAGAGATAAAGACAATATTCTGGTTTTCTGACTCTTACACCAAAGTTTTTGGGTTTTGTTTGTTTGTTTGTTTGTTTTCATTTCGGGACATCCCAGTCCTTTTAGCTTCGTGGAAACTATAATATCCTTCACAAACTTTACATTGGGGTCTGGTTATCCAAGGTCAAGGCTTAGCTGAGACGGGAGGCCAGGAGCTTTGGCCAATCCAAGCTTTATTATTGCTCAAACCAGGAGAAATAGATTTGGGTGAAAATAACTAATTAAAATGTAATAGCAACGTCAAGGAAGAAGAGGTAGATTAAAAAGAATAAGGATATCTGTTGGTTTGTGATCTATAGCTTGACCAAGAACGTTTCCTTACTACACAAGGCTCTATCTCTTTAAGGCAACTTTATGCTGACATGGCTGTCTCTAGTTTGCAAAAATGTCTTATGCCTGTCACATATTTCAAAATGCTTTCCTGTCCGTGACCCTGTTTGATATCCATACCACCCTAGTAAGATAAGTGTTAGCATATTCATTTAAGGGATGAGATTCAGAGAATTAAAGAGACTTTCTTAAGTCTAGATAGCAACTGACTCAAGCATACAGCATTTTAGAAGGGATATTACCATGCATTTTTTTTTCAGAGTTTGCTATGTGCCAGGCAGCTCTCTGAGCCTCTGACGTGAATTTTCTCATGTACTCCTCATGACTCCTTTTTGTACTTGTCTAACTTAAACCTCATCCCAGCTCAACAGGAAAACAGTATGTGACTGATGAAGAAGCTAAGGTATAGTGAAGAAATCACCTCTTGGTCATGTCATGCATCTACTCATTTAACAAATATATGTTGAGCTTTTCAGTTCTGGACATTTATTTAGGCTCTAGGAATAGAGACGTAAGATGAGACTCTGTTGTCATAGAGATTACACTTGACTGGGGAGAGAGAACCACTAAACAAGTTGAATACATAAACATAGAAATTGCTCTGAGATGAATCAAGAAGAGGCAGGCCTTAAGCAGTATGTGGGCCCAGGAAGTGCTCTGTTTTGGACACTGTGGTCAGATGCTTGTACTAGGGCTGACACTTGAAGTTGGTGAGGAAGGAGCATGCCGCTGACTGGGGAAGAACAAGGGCAAAGGCCCAAATGTGATGGGCATATGTCTCCTGGTCCAGCGAAGAGGCTGAAGCAGAGTGATCTGGGGGACAGCAGTGGGAGATGGGTCTGGGAGACAGCTGGAGGGAGAGTCCTCAGTGGTGGGGAAAGTCCTGACTGAGAGGCAGGAAGCCGTTGCAGGGTTCTGAGCAGTGGAGTGACACCAGGGACACATCTGAGAAATGCCACAGGGGAAATGACTACAGAGGGCAAGGGTGGAACCTACCCAAGGCTGTATGCCTATGAAGTGTCCAGAGGTGTAGGTGGGGGCAGGTGTGGTCTCCATTTTTACATCTGGCCCCCTGGAGAGGCAGAGCTCAGCCCCACAGGCAGGTTTTTCTCATGTTCTGTGTATCCTGTGGTCAACTTCCTCCTGCCACACACAGGGAATCTCCCTCTGTCCAGGGGTTGTTGCCCTTTCTGGCAACCAGCAGACAGAGGCCCACTGAGGCAGGCCAGCGGGCAGAGCCGGCCCAGAGCCTCCCAGGCTGCAGCCTTGGGGAGCCCCACTCACCTTGGACTTCTCTTGATGTAGCTCTATCTGGATGTCTGTGAGCTTGGTCCTGAGGTCTTCGTTGGCAGCTTGAAGGGCGACAATGAGCGCCTCGGGCTTCTCGCCCTTATTTCGCCCTTTCTTGGACATTGTTCCTCTCTGAATGGAGTCTGTTGGTGTTTAATTCCTCTCAAGCAGGGGCTGCCATGTTACTGCTGCTTCTCCCGGGTGCGATGGCTCAGCAGCTACTGCGTGCTGCCCCTCGGGAAGGTCTCCTCAGCCGCTGTCCTAGAAGCCCTGGGAGAGGCAGAGACAGCAGTTACCGCTGTGACCAAGACCTGGGCCACGTGCCCGTCAGGCACTCAGCCCGAGCCGCCTGCACGAGCCTCCTCCCTAGGGCTCCTGTCCACTTGGTGCTTCAATTTAGGGCCGGCTTTCTAAAGGGCGAGTTTGGTCATGTCAACGCCCTGCTTAAAACCCTTCAAAGACCTATGAAGACATATATGAGTATACCTTTCACACCTCAGAGTGCTCCTTATGCCTGAACCTGCCCATTCTCCTAGCCTCACCTCCTCCACATCACTCACTTATACCCTGGCCGTAAGGAATGTCTTTTTCTGGTTCTTCCTCTCTTCGCATAAGGACTTTTCATTTTTCTCCATCCTCTGCCCAGCCTGCTCACATGATCCTCCCCGTATCCTCATCCTCACACGCTGCCACACAGACAGGTTAGTCTGACTAACCTTTATGACTCCATCAGGTCTCAGCTGGCATATCAGTTCCTCCTCGAAGCCTCCCACCTTACCCCCAGGTTAATACATGCCCTTGTTATTCAAGTGCGGTCACCTCCATAATCTGTAAGCTTTGTAAGAGCAGGAATGTGTTGTTTGTATTTACAACTTGCTTCTCAGGGTCCATCACAAGACCTGGGACATACCAGGCACTTAATTAGTATTTGTGAAAGGAAGTCACCTATATGATGACCTATGGTCGCCCTACAGAGAGACCCAACTTTAAGAAAATCTGATATATAAAGATCTAGAATTATACAGTGGATAAACTGGGAGAAGTGGGGATTAATTATGCTGAGTTAATTGGGTCACTCACTTATTCATTTGGTCAATAGGCTTGTATATGTTGTGCTAAGTACAGTATGTTGAAATTGAAATTGTTAGCTTTCCAAGGCAAAAACAACAACAAACCTTTATCCCTATCTATCTATCTATCTATCTTCATCATCATCACCATCATCTATCTGATAACTGCCTTAAAAAAATAAACACTAGTTGTTTCAAAAATATAGACTTCTCAAGAGAGAAGTAAGGAGTAAGGAGGGCTCCCTGAAGACGGTGGCATTGCCTGGAACTTGAGGAGCGGGTAGGATTGTAACAGGTAGAGAAACAGGTGAACCTTGGGTGAAGGAAACAGCAGGTGACAAGATACAGCAAAGAGAAAGCACAGTAACTATTCTCGGGGAAACGGGGGCCTGATTAGTTACAACCCAGGATATGGTTGGTGGGCATTAATGCTAGAAAGGTTGCCTGGAAATGATAGATTCTGGGAGACCTGGTATGCCATCCTTAGAATTATGGAATCTTTTATTTATTTATTTATTTTTCAGTAAGTAACAAGGAAGCTGTAGGAGCTCTTGGCAGGTAGATGCCCTGATACAGCAGTACTTTGGCATGGTTATTCTGGTGGCAGAGTGGGGAGAGAATGAAGGCAGGGAGACCAGATAGAAGGCTATTAAACTTGCCAAGGTGAAGGATGATGAAGGCCTAGTCAGAACAGTAGAAAGAGGAGAGAAAAAAGAGAGATGTATCTTGATTTACAAATTCTTAAATGTGTCATAGGAACAAGGAGGTAAGGAAAATATGAATACTAAACTGTTAAGAGTCCATGCAAAAAAAACATGACTAGATAAAGAAGATACTAGAGAGTTTCCCATGCAACCTTTCAGAAAATTGAGTATTGTGTACATCTAGGTGCTTCAGTCCAGAACTAAGGGGAATTCCTTCTGATGACCCATATGTTCTAGCAGCTGCTGCTCTACCAAGACCCCTGGTATTCAGCCTTGAGGACCATGCTGGGATCCTGGACTTTCTGCCATCTACCCATGAGCACTGGGGCCATGCCCTTTGGAGAGTGTCCCTAGGGAAAGGGGATAGGAAAAGGTTAGGAAGTTGGATCCGCCTGTCTCCAGCCGTCACGGACCTGTCCACCATATTCCACCCTCGGCTAGATGCTGGAGTTGTCCTTCATGCTTGTTTTGCGAATGTTGCGAAATCATTAAAGTGTATGGCTGGGAGACTTCTAAGTGGTTACCATTCTTTGCTTTTAGAACTGAAATGAATTCAACAAGCATTTATTGAAAATTTGTATGACAAACACCACTAGGCACAAAGATAAGTAAGACAGTACTTAACTCCAAGCAGGTTCTGGGTGAGTAAACTCACATGTATACAGTTAACAGGTTTCTCTTCCTCTAGTTGCTTTCTAGATGTTGCTGGTCCCCAGGGCTTCGTCCAGGTTATCTCCACTGGCCCCACCTACAGGGTTATGACTCTCAGTGCTATATCCATAGCCCTGACCATTCCCCAAACCCCAGACTCATGTATTCAACTGCTTCCTTACCAAATCCACTTGGACATCCAATTGGTATCTCAAACCTAACTTAACTAATACAGAGGTCTTTTCTACTAGTTCCTCAAAAACCTTATCCTCCCCAAGTTTTCCCATATCAATAAACGGCACCAGCGCATGCCCAGTTACTCCAGATCTAAGCTTAGAAATCATCCTTTTTTTTTAATCCCTTATTTCCCTTATCCGGTCCACTAGGAAGTCTGGTTTGTTTTACCTATAAAATATGTCTCACTTTGGTCAACTTCTCTCAAACCCCTATGGTGCTGTCACAACACAGAGGAAAGGACAGTTTGGGAAAAGTTTCCCAGTCACTTCCTGGCCATATCGTCATCTTGAACGAAGAATGGGCTTTTCTAACTGGAGATACTCAAATGGCAGAGGAAGGAACTTGAGAAAAACATGGAGCCACACAACTGATGTATGTAGAGAAGGTTGTGAACTAGGAGAAGAGAGACTGGGGTTAGATTTCACAGGCTCCTGAATAATCGATGATTAAATTTAATTCATAATGATTAGATTTCATTATGGAGAAATGGAGAAACATAGCAGCCTTTGCATATAAGTGTAATAATAATAAAAGCTTACAGTGACTGATTGCCATGAGCCTGTCATTGGATTTAGCAATTAAAATACTGCTCTCATCTAATGCTCACTAAACATAGGGGGGGAAATAAAATGATTCACAGAAAGATTAAGTAACTTGCCTAAGAGGACTGAGTGGAAAGCTGGTGAGGCCCAGATTCAAATCCAGGCAGTTTGAAACTGAGACCCAAGGTGTGTACCCTGGGCTAGCCTGCCTCATATTTGCGTTTTAGAAAGGTAGCTCCAGCAGTGTGATGGAGGATGAGTTACTAAGGAGGGAGAGACTGGAGGCAGGAAATTAGTGAGTCTGCTTCAATGGTCCAGGCGAGAAATAATGCAGCCCTGAATGAGGCCATGGCCGTGGGGATGAAAAAGGAGGTGGCAGCTCTGTCACACGGAGACTTTGATGGAATCATGTCCTACTTTTAAACATTACATGCTTCTGTCCCATTGTAAATAACGAGTACCAGCTCTCTGTCATTGCTTGCAGCAAGAATGTGCAAAGCAACAGCCATATTTTACATTTTAATTTATAATCCCTTCCAAAAAATATAAAATATGTGCCTGACTTCACATATTTTTAGTCTGGGAATTATTGTGAACTTCATCCCATAAAAGCTGGGAAAAAGAATAGGATTAATAAATTAGACATGTTCAGGAGAGAAAAAAGCATCACAGGAATTTGAGGATGGAATCAATTTATAGATACCTTGAGGTAAGCAACTGTTCATACGTATGGCCCTACACACCCCTCTGTTGCAGAGCAACTTTCCAAAGTCTTTTCCAGTTGTGACGGGTGCCTGACAATCTCATGATTCTCATATATAATTTCACTAAAATGCTTCTGTTGCTTTGTGCTGCCCCCTCCCCGTTTTGGACAGCTTTATTGAGGTATAATTCACATATCATAAAATTCATAACTCAGTTTTTTAGCATATTTACAAGGTTTCACGACCATTACCACAATCCATTTTAGAACTTTTCATCATGCCAAAGAGAAAACCCATACTTGTCAGCAGTCATTTCCCATTGCCCACCAAACTCTCCCAACCCAGGCAATCACTAATTTACTTTTTCTCTCTATGGATTTGTCTATTCTGGATATTTTGTGTAAATGGAATCATACCATATGTGGATTTTTAAAAAATTAACTGGCTTCTTCTACTTCAAAAGAGTCACCCATAATACAGCATGTATCAATATTTCATTTCTTTTTATTGCGGAATAATATTCCATTGTATGGTTGAAGCTGAATTTTATTTATCCCTTCATCAGTTGATGGGCACTTGTGCTGCCTTTCCTTAAGCAGTTTGAGGTCAGCCTTCAAGAAAGGCTGCCACATGCAGAGGGACACCACCCCTCAAAGGAGCGTGCTCCAGAGCATAAAGGAGAGCTTGAAGGGATCACTGCACACAGATGGAATGTTTCTGGGCCACCCTCAGAGCCCCTGTCGCTGATAACATCTGATGTAGCAGATGATCTGGAGGAGAGACAGAAGCCTTGTTCAACTAAGGGCCAATCCTGGTGGGGGTGGGTGGGCAGGGGGAGACGGCTTCATAACTTAAAAAAACTTGAAGGAATTTTAAATGATCCCTAGGTTTCCAGCTCTTAGCTGCAATGATGGTAGTGCTAGCCTCAGGCAATGCGGTGAGGTACCAAAGGTGAGAATTTTAGCTTATACTCTGGTCCTACCCTGTCCTTAATCGGATACCTCCCATAGCCACCGAGGCTGAATTTCTCTGCAACCAAGTCTCTGATAAAGATACCAGAAAATTTAGAGACAGGCTCTCAGGAGCAATTGCATTTTAAAATAAGGACCACTGCTTGAGAGCAAATCTTAATGTAGGAATATATTATCAATGGAAGAGTTATAGTCATCATTCATTCAGTAGACATTTATTGAGGAGGAAATACAGTGTAGTGTTAATTTCTCATTTAAGATTTTAAACTATTTCTATAAACAACTTTGTTAGGAAAAGAAAACTCAATTTTTTTTTTTTTCTGTACACAGACCCACAAGAAAGATTCTGAGATCCATTATTTCCTCTTTGTATGGTAAGCAATCTTTGATA